GCCCGCGTGCCGCCCTACTGGCCGCCGCGTCGCCCTGCCCTGCCTGCGCGCCGCCCTACTGGACGCCGCACCGCCCTGCCTTGCCCGCGTGCCGCCCTGCTGGCCGCCGCCCTACTCTATGCGCTTCCCTAGCGCTTGCGCGCCGCCTTGCTCGTCGCGCCGTCCTTGCTTGGGTGCTGCCCTGCTGCTCGCGTGCCAACCTGCTCTGCCTGCTATGGCTACTCTCAGCGTTCTCACATTCGATCCTGAGGGCCGTCCGATGCAGTTCGATACGTGGCTCAGCTGTTCCTACTGAGCGATTCTAGAGACGGCGTTTTGTTGTTTGACCACACGTCTGGCGCCTCTCTCACCCCTCCTGACATAGCTGACAGTGCGACTCGCTCACATTGGCTTACCCGTGATGCTGCTGCTCGCCTAGCGGTTCGCAACCACTTGCCGTTAGCCGAATGACGCTGTAGTCGCTCGTTACTCCTCCCCTTCCATTGGTGCTCCAGGCCGCCATATAATGCCCTACATGTTCCTTGAGTTGTCTGCCTTTGCCACAGTCGCCGACCTCATCACCCACCTTCGCACTAGTGACACTCGCTAGCGCGCCACGCTTCCAACCAAGTTTCCAGACAAGAACCCCCCCCCCCCCATGTACATCACTCTCCAATTCATCGTCCCCGGCCTCCTCGACTCTCTTAGCGCAGTCAAGGACCTCCTTCTTGCCCTTGACCCCACAGACCTCACTGTCGATCTGCTCGAGAAGCACCTCCTTGCAGCTGAGACCAGCATAGTCACTGTAGGAGCTTCTCGTGGCACTCCTCGCACTCCCTTCTTTGAGGGGTGTTCCCCCTCCCCCCTTGTCCCCTCTGTTGTTTCTGCTGCTGCTGTTGACTTCCTTCATGCTGAGGAGGTCGGGGTTGCGTCTGCTCCTAGTGGGAGGCGCCGCAGCGGTAGGGGCAAGGGAGGCCAGGGTGGTGGGGTTGGCAGTGGGGGAGGCGGTGGTGGGGGCGGTGGAGGTGGTGGAGGTGGCGGTGGTGGCGGAGGGAGTGATGGTGGGAGTGGAGGTGTTGGTGGCGGCGGTGGTGGCGGCAGTGGGAGTGGTGGTGGCGGCAGTGGGAGTGGTGGCGGCGGCAGTGGTGGCGGTCGGGGTGGAGGTGTTCAGAGGGGAGGTTCTGGCGGTGGCCAGAGGGAGCAGCAGCAGCGTCCGAGCGAGACCCCTACGCCCTAGCAGCTTTGTGAGTGGTTTGCTCAGCGTGGGGCGTCTGGGGGTAGTGTTCGCTGCCCATTTGTCATTTGCACAGGTTGCCGCGCTGGTCAGACATGCGGGAAGTTTCACACACAGCACCGCTGCTTCTCCCGACTTGACGATGCCTGTCGCATAGAGTTTCCTGATGTGATTGAGCTCCCCCGGTGGCTAGAGCTGCTTAGTCGGAGTCTTGATTATGATGCTATCCCTGCTGCCCTGTATGCATTGACCATTAGTGCTGAGGGTGACTGTTACATGTGTGTGCCGCCCGACCCAGGTATAGAGGCTGCTGCTCTAGGTGCTACTAAGTCTGCTCTCCCTGGTACTGCGCCTGCTGAGACCTTGCACACCTTCACGGTTGACTCAGGTGATTCCCGCTATTTCTTTTGCGACATCACCACAGTCACACCACTCCCTGCACCTGTTGCAATCAGACTGCCTGACCCCTCAGGGGGTCCAGTTCTTGCCCGTTTCTCCACTATTCTTCCGTGTTCGGCGTTTCCGTCCGACTCACTTTCAGGTCTTCACCTCCCCTCGTTCTCTACGAACTTGGTGAGTACCGCTGCCCTCCAGGATGCGATGGTCACTACCACCACTCCAGGGGGTCAGCGTGTGTCGATCTGCACGTGTATACGGACGGGCCGTCACCTGGCCACGTTCACCCGTCGGCCTGGGTCAAGACTGTACACACTGACTACTGAGCATCCTCAGGTAGCTGCACCTGCGTCCGCGTCAAGTCAGCTTGTGCCCCCCTGCTCGTGTCGCGCCCTGTCGCACCAGACTCTCCTTTGGCACCACTGCCTTGGTCACCCCTCCCTGCCATGCCTGTATGGCATGCACTCCCGTCTCTTTGTCTTTGGTCTTCCCATTTCTCTGCCTCCCCTCCCGCCCTCCCCTGCCCCTCCCTGCCTTCCCTGTGTCGAGGGTCGGCAGCACGCCGCTCCTCACTCCTCCTCGTTTCCCCCAACGACTGCTCCCCTGCAGACTCTCCACATGGAAGTGTGGGGCCCAGTCCGCATCCGTGGACAGGACCGCGAGCGAAACTTTCTACAGGTTGTTGACGACTACTCGCGTTACACCACTGTCTTCCTTGATGTTTTGATCCCTTGGATCCGCGCTGTCCGTCTCCAGCTCCGCGAGCGGCCCCACACGGACCTTCCTGTCCTGCGTCTGCACTCTGACAGAGGTGGTGAGTTCGCTTCCGACCTCTTGCGGGACTTTTGTCGTGGGGAGGGCATTCGCCAGTCATTCACGCATCTGGCCTCTCCGCAGCAGAATGGGGTTGCTGAGCGCCGCATTGGCTTAGTCATGGAGGTCGTTCGTACCTCCATGATCCATGCGGCTGCTACCCATTTTCTGTGGCCGTTTGCGGTCCAATATGCTGCGCATCAGCTCAACCTCTGGCCCCGTATCTCCTTGCCGGAGGCCTCGCCGACACTGCGTTGGACGGGAGAGGTTGGCGATGCGTCGGTGTTCCGGGTTTGGGGATCTCGTACAAGCTCTCCTCCTGCACCATTCCCTGTGTCTTCCTTCGCTTTCCCCCTGTCGCGCCTGGCTGGTAGTTTTACCACCCCACCTCACGCCGTGTCTTGCCTTCTTAGGATGTCACGTTTGACGAGTCGGTTCCCTTTTACCATCTCTTCCCCTACCGCACTGCCCCTCTCCCTCCCCCGCCGCTCTTCCTCACATCAGGTCCCCCTCCGGTAGACCCCCTCCCCCCTCAGGGTCCTGCTCCCTCAGGTGTGTCTCAAGTAGACCCACTCCCCTTGGCTGAGCCTGTCGAGGTCGCTGTCGACTCTGGTGCTGCTGGGGGTGGTGCTGCTAGGGGTGCTGCGTTTGGGGGTGCTGAGCCTGCGCGTACGAAGCCTGGGGGTGCTGAGCCTGGAGTTGCTGAGTCTGAGGGTGTGGAGCCTAGGGGTGCTGATTCTGAGCGTGTGAGGCCTTGGGGTGCTGCTCTATACCATGTGAAGAAATGAGGAAATGAATGAACTAGCGAACAGGTGGGTACAAGTAGGAAAACCTAAAAGTGTTGTACCCCATATTGTCTACCCCACTACAGCCTACACGGACTATAACATATGAGTTTGACACCAAGAAATCGCACGCAAGCCGAAATGTCAAGCTCTTGGCCAGCCCGACCGCATGCATCTGGATGCCCCTTGAAGTGCCAGTTTCTAGCGGGAAAAGAACCTGCCCTGTTAGGGCAGCCGAACAAGTGGTGCATATTGAAAATGCTTTCTTTCTTATTCTTATCAATTGGCATCGTTCTTATTACACATGGCTTATTACGACATTTGCATCGACATTGAACACAAATAGTGCATACTAATAACACTAGCTACGATGTACCCTATCCAAGTGGCATTAGCAAAGCGGTTTACGCTGGGGTGGGTGGTGGGAATGTTGACTGAGCCGTTTGAAAATCGAGAAACGTGGGTGGAGGGAAATGAACTCCAACCCACAGTTTTTGTAGTTGGAGAAGGCGTTTAGCGCGCTTGGACGATGCCAATTGTGCAGTACAAGCAGCTTCGCTTTCACAATACACAATTTTGAAAAACACTATGTGTGTTTAAAAACTATAATAAGGGCATGTTCCTACGCTCTTATCAGGCAAACCTCTTGTCAGCCTTGCCTGGTAAAAGTAGCGAGGGTTTGTGGGTTTAGGGAATTTTCAGTGTGTTTTGACGTGAGCTTGATAAGAGGTTGGCCTGATAAGGGGCCGTAGGAACATGCCCTAACTCCACTTTCATGCACCTCACCCTCGCGCATGACTGCCCGCTGAAACCACTCCCCTTTTGGTTTTGTATCTCTGCCCGGCGCCAAAAAATGACTTGTATCAAATTGTGTCAGCCAATAAAACGCATACAACTGTACCTCTCAGTCAGTCGCGCAGTGTCGCGGTACATCTACAATATGTGACGCGAGGTTGGGCAAATGTGCAGATGCGACTCGCGAAAACTGGAATTGAACCCTAAGGTGTTCCAACAATTGACTAGAAATATGTACATACCGTACGGTAATCAAATCACGCATGTTTGGACAAGCCACTATGGTAATTGCAAGAAGAGAATAAGAGTGCCGATCTAGCATGGCAAAGCCTGACAAGCACTCATCCGATCTAAACTTCCCATTACTATTCACAATCATCTTCCAGCTTATGCTACCAGACAGCAAGCCGGTGCTTCTAATGAATGCAGCGGAAAGAGAGGAAAAACATCCCAAGGTATTCGCTGTAATAGTGGAGAAAACACACACGGAGGACACATATTGCTTAAGATTGGGTGCGAGCAAGAATGGGAGAACTGGGATGGAAATTTTGTTGAGGCAAGGAGATTTAATGTGTGCACGTGTGTGTGTGTGTGTGTGTGTGTGTGTGTGTGTGTGTGTGTGTGTGTGTGTGTGTGTGCGGGCGTGCGTGCGCGCGCGTGTGTGTGTGTGTGCGTGTGTGTTTGTGTGTGTGTGTGCATAGATGTGGTGCATTTGCGTATGTGTGTGTGTGTGTGTTTGTGTACGTGCATGTGTGTGTGTGTGTGTGTGTGTCTGTGTACGTGCATGTGTGTGTATGTGTGTGGTGTGTGCACGCATGCATGTATGCGAGTGTGGTGTGTGTGCGCAGCACACCCATACCCATCGTACGCACACACATTCATGTGTGCGTGGGGGGGAACAGGTGTGTGTGTGTGCATGTGCGTGTGTGTGTGTGTGTGTGTGCGTGTTTGTGGGGGTGTGTGCATGTATGCTGAAAGAAATAGAGATCGCGACTCACGGGATGGTCCACACGCCGATCTGAGGTGCACCCGCCAAGCTGAACAATGAATTGCACGCTCCGGCACACCCATACCCATAGTACGCACACACATTTGTGCAATTTCCCATCCCACCCGGGGCCGGCTCTATGCGGGTGTAGGACAGGACATCAGAGGCGCGGGGGAGAGTGATGTCGGTGCAGCCATCCCAGTGGACCCGCATAGTGGATATGAAGCGAGTTATGGTGAAGTTGGGGTGATCATAGAAGGTGAAGCTGGTGGAGGAGACGGTGGGGGTGGCCCCTGAAAAGGATTGGAACAGAGGGGAGAAGGAAGCTAATACAAACAACATATGCTCTTACACCAGTTTAGGGTTCATTCTGCTCTCGAGGTTATTCACACAGCACATGCTCTTGTGCATGCAGATATCAAGTCCAGGGGGGAGTATCCACACCACACACACTACTGCACTCACTCTCTACACACACACAACACAAGCACTTGCGTTGCACTCACACATACATACTGTGCACTCACACATACATACCGTGCACCCACACATACATACCGTGCACCCACACATACATACCGTGCACCCACACACATGCACCTTGCACTTACACATCCATACCATGCACTTACACATCCATACCATGCACTCACACATCCATACCATGCACTTACAAATCAGTTGGCTTACACTGACACACATACGTTGCTTGCATGCATCCGGTGCTGGTCATGCCATAACCAGGAGGGCACATCGACACAACGCACACTCCTGCACTCACACATGCATACATCACATGCTCTTGTATGCTCACACATACGCACCTTGCACGCATCCAGTGCTGGTCATGCCGTAACCAGGAGCGCACATGCAGTAAGAAGGCCAGGTCGATGGGAGAGGCGTGCACACAGCTCCTGCAGGGCAGGCCCCACACGAAGCAGGTCCTGTGGGGAGGGCAGGAGGAGCAGGAGGAGGGTGAGTTGGTGAGCTGAAAATGTGGTGTTGTGTGTGCAATAGCAGACTTTCAAGTGGCCCCTACAGAGCATGCCCCACACGTGGCAGGTCCTGTGGGGAGGGGAGGAGGAGCAGGAAACAGGGAGGGAAAGGGGGCGTTAGAGTGCAGCACTGGTAGTGTGCAGCACACTCGGAGAGAGCAGACTATCAAGTGGCACCTGCAGGGCATGCCCCACACGTGGTGGTGCCTGTGGGGAGGCAGGAGGAGCGGGGGAGAGAGGGGGGGATCATGTGGGGTGAGCTGACGATGTGGTGCTGTGTTTGCGGTAGGCCAGAGCAGTCATTCGAGAGAAGACTGTCGAGTGGGCCCTGCAGGGCATGAGGAGGGCAAGAGGACCGGTGGGGGGGAAGGGGGGGGGGGGGGGGGGTGTTGTGAGCTGACAATAATACAGCAGACAGGGCCAGAGAGGTGAAAATCACGTGCCGAGAGGTGAGAAGTGGTGAGAGGTGGGAAGTGGTGAGAGGTGAGAAGTGGAGAGAGGTGAGAAGTGGTGAGAGGTGAGAAGCGGTGAGAGGTGAGAAGTGGTGAGAGGTGAGAAGTGGTGAGAGGTGAGAAGTGGTGAGAGGTGATAAGTGGTAAGAGGTGATAAGTGGTGAGAGGTGAGAAGCGGTGAGAGGTGAGAAGTGGAGAGAGGTGAGAAGTGGTGAGAGGTGAGAAGTGGTGAGAGGTGAGAAGCGGTGAGAGGTGAGAAGCGGTGAGAGGTGATAAGTGGAGAGAGGTGAGAAGTGGTGAGAGGTGAGAAGTGGTGAGAGGTGAGAAGCGGTGAGAGGTGATAAGTGGTAAGAGGTGAGAAGTGGTGAGAGGTGAGAAGCGGTGAGAGGTGAGAAGTGGAGAGAGGTGAGAAGTGGTGAGAGGTGAGAAGTGGTGAGAGGTGAGAAGCGGTGAGAGGTGAGAAGCGGTGAGAGGTGATAAGTGGAGAGAGGTGAGAAGCGGTGAGAGGTGAGAAGCGGTGAGAGGTGATAAGTGGAGAGAGGTGAGAAGTGGTGAGAGGTGAGAAGTGGTGAGAGGTAAGAAGTGGTGAGAGGTGAGAAGTGGAGAGAGGTGGGAAGTGGTGAGAGGTGAGAAGTGGTGAGAGGTGAGAGGTGAGTATCACGTACCAACACACTTGTCGCCCACCACCTCGTATTTGCACACACAGGTCACTGCACCCGCAACGTCCTTCACACATGCATGGTTGCCGTCACAGATAGAGCACGGCTCTGCAGGGGGGAGGTGTGAGAGAGGGGGGCACGAAGTAAGGGGCTTTTGAGTCAGTTATAAAAAAGCAGCGTCCTTCACACATGCATGGTTGCCGTCACAGATAGAGCACGGCTCTGCAAGTGGGGAAGGCGTGGAAGGGTGGGTGCGTGGAAGGTTGGAGTTTTGTTTGATGCTTCAAAAGTTATGGCGATTTCTGATGCAAGGGGAAGAACAAAGCAGCACATGAAAGAGCACGCACACAGCAACACATGGCAGCACACGAAGTCAGAGTCACACACACAGGACGCCACACCTGCAGTGCTCTGTGTGAGGGCAACCCATAACATGGAACATGGAATTTCACAAGGCATTGCACCCACCAATGCACGTCCTGCCATTGGCCTGCAGCACGAAGCCTGCGTCACACACACAGGACGCCACTCCACCGCTGTTCACAACGCACGTGCTGTTGGCGCTGCAGGCCTTGACCGCACAGGGACCTGGGAGGGAAGGGGGTGATGGAGGGAAGTTAGGCGAGTGTGAAAGAGGAGGGAGTGTGGGAAGGGACACAGGATGCTACCCCACTGCTGTTCACAACGCATGTGCTGTTGGCGCCCCAGACCTTCACCACACAGGGACCTGGGAGGGTGGTTATGCATGAACGGAACGGGAAAGGGGAGAGGGGGTTGTAAGGCCAGCAGCACCTCATTACTCGCCAACACCACACCAAAATAATTACCAACAGGGACACAGCTGAGGGAGTGGTAAGGGTATGACCCCACTGGAGAGTAGTTGTTGCTGGTGGTTGGGGTGGGTGGGAGATTTTTAAGACGCCTCAAAAGCCATCACAGCAGCACCCATCAAAGCAGCAGCATATTAATCAGAAACACTGTTGGCACTTACCAATGGGGACACAGCTGAAGGAGTGGTAAGGGTACGTCCCCACTGGAGAGTTGTCGGTGATGGGTGGGGTGGGGGAGACATGCACCCACCAATACAGCAGTAATGCATTACTCACTCACCGTCACAGCAGCACCGCATTACCCGCCAACACCACAACACTCACCGACAGGGACACAGCTGAAGGAGTGGTAAGGGTACGACCCCACTGGAGAATGGGGATGGGAGAGACATGCACAAACAGGCATTGGGGGCAAGCCAGAGGGGCAGAGGGGGAGAGGAGAAAACGTGCATGGGGAAGAGGAGAGACAGAGAAGGAATGCTGTATAACATGCTATTTACCTAATGTAGGACCATTTGAGAAGTAATGCAATCTCAACGAAGAGGAGTTGGTGGTGTGGGCATGGGAGACATGCCCGCACAGGAATTGGGGCGGGGTGTAACGAGGGGGCCAATCATAGAAGCCATGACTCACCTTGACCCCGTTGCAGTGATTCCGGTCCCATTGGAAGCAATTGGCAGCCACGTGGCAGGCCCCTGGCAGCTATCCCGAGTGTAACCATACACCGAGTCGCAGTGACCTCTGAGTCAGTAAACTCAACAAAAGCTGTGATCCCCCCGCACTCACATGACTCCTTCTGCAATGATTCCGGTCCCATTCGAGGCAAGAGGCAGCCACGTGGGAGGCCCCTGGCAGCTCTCCCGAGTGTAACCATACACCGATGCACAGTTACCCGCACCACCCGGAACCCCATTCACACGCCAGAGAGACAAGGCACGCTCGGCAACGGCTGCAGGGATGCTTCTGCAGGAGTTGTATGGCAGGCGCACGGTGTAGGTGGTGGGAGTGATGGTGTGGTTGGTCTGATCGCAGAAGATGATGCTGGTGGAGGAGGCAGTGGGGGTGGCGCCTGCAAGGGGAGGGGGATATGAGGAAGATAGCTGATTTATACACACGCATGGTGAAGATGTTGGACGTGATGGTGTAGTTGGGCTAATCGTAGAAGGTGATACTGGTGGAGGAGGCATTGGGGCGAATACTTGAGTAGCATGCTATAATTCGATAGACATGCTGTTAACGCGAGTTGGGTGTTGGCCTCGTCCTCACTTGGACAGAGCCGACTTTGTGGTCGGGTGCGCGGTAAGTGCAGCCGACTAACTGCAGTGGGCGACGCCGACTTGGGCGAGCAGGTCGACAGAGTTAGTCGACCTGCACCAGGCCAGTGCGAAGCCGCCGACGACGAGGGCCCGCGGCCAACTTCAACTCGGTAGTCGACGAAGGGAGTCGTCGACCAGAGAGGGGCGTTGACTTGGTAACGCCGACATGGGGAAGGTGACTCGGTGCAGTTGGCGAGCAGCCAGTCTGGTCGCCCCGGAGTTGGTCGACTTGTGGAGTGGTTGACTTGGTGAAATCGGCTGGTGGCCGTCGACCTGGGTGGTCGACAAGCACGTACAACTGTAGGTCAATTTCTACCGAGCAAGTGGACGCTGACCTGGTGGCTTCCAGGTCGACCATGTAACCAAGGCGACGAGGTTTTGCGGGGCGTGCGACCGTCGCCCAGGTGGTTCTGGCGAAACCGACCTCAGAGTGGTACCCCGATGTCGACGTGGCTCATTAGGCGCCGCCAACGGCACGTGACCGATTTGTCACCTGCACTATGCACGTAACGGTGCATGTTGCGCCAACCGACTACGAGCACCTGCGAAGTAGGTGCGCTGCTGTCATCCGCGGGAGCAAGGCTAGACAGCCTTGCTGCAGCGTTGGCACGCCGTCGACTTGCAGTGTTGGCAAGCCTCCTTTTTGCAGCGCTGGAGCGGTGCGGACTTTGCAGTGCTAGAACGCGGTCAACCTTGCTACGCTGGAAGTCGACTTGCTTGCATGCTAGGCCGACTTACTTCTGATGTAGTCAGCTTTGCCACTGTAACTACCATTAATGTTCTCAACTTTTGCAAGTAAAACTTCGCGGTTTTGCCCTGTAAACGCGCAAGTGCTAGAGAACACTAAAGAACGCTACGATCACTCCTAGAACCCGTGCCTTCCTCCGTAGTCATGTTTCCGATGTAAAGGTAACTCTCCGCACATGCCACAATTGGATAGACATGCCACATTTGGAAAGACATGCCATAATTGATAGACATGCCACAATTGGAAAGACATGGCACAATCGGATAGACATGCCACAACTAGATAGACATGCCACAATTGGGTAGACAGACATGCCACAATTGGATAGACATCCACAATTAGATCGACATGCCACAATTGGATAGACATGCCACAGTTGGATAGACATGCCACAATCGGAAAGACATGCCACAAAATGATATGCCACAATTGGACAGTTCGAAAGACATGCCACAATTGGATAGACATGTCACAAAAGGATATGCCACAGTTGGAAGAAAGGACATGCCACAGTTTGAAGAAAGGACATGCCACAGTCAGAAGGCTATGCTACAATTGAAAGGACATGCCAAATATGAAAGCCCATGCCATTGTTGGAATTCCATGCCATTATTGGAAGCCCCTGCCATCATTGGAAGCCCGTGCCATGATTTAGAGGCATAACCTTACCGCTGATGCAAGACGAGCCCCATGCCATAGCCGGGAGGACAGATGCAGTACGGCACATTGCTAGAAGTAACCGTGCATGTGGCTCCTGTAGGGCAGCTCCCACATGTGGTAGGGCCTGGGGAGGTGGGAAGAGGGAGGAGATTAAGAAAGGGAGGAGATGAGGAGGAGCAAGGAGATGAAAGAAAGAGACCAGATAAGGAAAAGGGAGAAAACCAATATTCACGACACAGCACGACAAAAAAACAAAGAAACGGTGCAGGTGGCTCGTGTAGGGCGGTCTCCACATGTGACGGAGCCTGGGGAGGCGGGGAAGGAGAAGAGATGAGGAAGAGTGCAAAAGGTGAAACATCAGATCACAACACACCCTGGCAAAGCATATTATAGCACATGGAACAACAAACACCAACATGGAGCAGCAGAGGAGCACAGAGCTCTCGACAAAACACCAGCGCAGCATCCGAGTTGACCGACACCCCTACACCAACGCGAATGCCGCAGCACAAAGACGAACAAACACACGCACACGAATGAACGCCTTACCAGATTACACCGCTAATATGACCTGACCGTACTGACACATTTGCCGGAGGTGCTCTGATAGCCTATTTTGAGTGGACTAAAAAAGACTGCACCAGCACGTACCAACACATTTGCCGGAGATGCTCTGATAGCCCACCTTGCACACACAGGTTGCACCGCCTGCAGCGTCCCTCACACAGTCAGTCGTGGGATCGCAGATCTTGGTCCCACACGCCTCTGAAGGAGATTAGATGGGAGTAGTACGAAGAGAACACCAAGATAAGAGGTGAATTTGGATCTTGGTCCCACACGCCTCTGCTCTGTGGGAGATTAGACAGGAGTGGTACGAAGGGAACACCAAGAGAAGAGTTGACTTGGGATCTTGGTCCCACACGCTTCTGCGGGAGGACAAAAGAATGGCAAGAAGAAATTCTTGGTACTGACATGGAACGGAGATCTGGACCGGGCATGGAGGTTTGGGAGGGTATGGGAAGAAGAGGCACACATGAGTGAGAGGGAAAGAGACTGAGAAAATGGATGGGAAGAAGAGGAGGGAAAGAGATTGAGAAAATGGATGGAAAGAAGTGGAGGGAAAGAGATTGAGCAAATGGATGGGAAGAAGAGGAGGGAAAGAGATTGAGAAAATGGATGGAAAGAAGAGGAGGGAAAGAGACTGAGCAAATGGATGGGAAGAAGGAAGAGAGAGAACGTGGGAGTGGACGTAAGGGAGGGAGCATGAGAAAGCATGATCCACAGTTGCAGACAGCGGCGCACAGCACCACACAGCACCACGCAGCACCATACAGCACCGCACAACACCACACAGGACCACACAGCACCACACAGCACTACACAGAACTCACACCACCACACAAAACTACAAAGCACCTCACAGAACCACACAGCAGCACATACCAGTGCACGTGGTGCCGTCAGATTGCAGGAGAAACCCAGCATTACAGACACAGGAGGCAACCCCAGGTGCAGACAGACAATAGCGCACAGCACCACACAACACCACAGAGCACCACACAGAATCACATAGTACCGCACAGAACCACATACCAGTGCATGTGGTGCCGTCAGGTTGCAGCAGAAACCCAGCGTTACAAACACAGGAGGCAACCCCAGCACTATCCTCCATGCACGTGCCGTTGCCTCCACAGCTCTTGGTTGCACATGACTCTGTGAGGGAAAGAGATAGAATATTCTACAGGATGAAATTTCGCTTTGGGTGTATGTGCACTTGGTGTGGTGTGGTATGACATTGCAGCAGCAGCAGCGCGGGTGACATGTGACATGTGAGCAGAACGGGAGTTTGCTGAGGTGCCTCAAAAGAGATTGTTGTAGTAGTAGCCAGCAGCGGGTGACATGCGACACATGTGAGAAGAACGGGAGTCATAACTACGAGATTGCAGGAGGGAATTGGGCAGTTTGAAGTGCACTTAAACAAGATCGGTGAAAAGGTGACTTTTGCGTCGACAAAAAAGTCACGCCGCTACAGTAAGAACATTGCAGGTGGGACCTGTGCGGTCTGAAGTGCACTTGCGATCATGAGAGCTGTGAAAGCAGCCGTACTCACCAACCAACACAGCAGCACTTTTGAGACGTCTCAAAAGGAAACTGTGGTGTAACCTGTTTGACGTGCAATGTGAGAAACTGTGCTGTTTGACGTGCACTTGCAATAACAAGAAATTTGGAAAGCAGCAGCACCCACCAACACAGCCAGAACTCACCAGCAGCAACGCAGCTGAAGGAGCTGTACGGATATCCGAAATAATAGCTGTAGGCGAGGAAAAAGAACACACAAACAGGCAGGCAGTGATGAAATTAGTTTTGAGGCGCCTAACAAACAGACTCTAAAAAAATAAGAGTTGTAGGAATATTCAAAATATTAGCCGTGGGAGAGGAAAACGCGCACTCAAGCAAGCGAGCAGTAAGGAAACGGATACAGAGAATAACCCAAGGATCCATGCGTGCCCGAATGCACAGACCATCAAGCCGATTGGATAAGGAACGACTTGTTTGACCAACCAAACGGTTTGATCATATTCTGAAGGAAACCAGAAAAACGCCCTTCCATGTCGATTTCATTTCAACATGTGTGCCGTTTAAAGGAAAATCATATTTTTCCATGTGTGATGTGGGTCATGTGTGCGTGCGCACTCCTTCTCACACCCACCCGCCTCACTCACACCCACCTCTCACTCACACCCACCCGCCCCTCTCACATCCATCCGCCCCTCTCACACCCATCCGCCCTCTCACACCCATCCGCCCCTCTCACTCACACCCACCGCCTCTCACTCGCACCCACCCTCCTCTCACTCGCACCCGCCCTCCTATCACTCGCACCCACCCTCCTCTCTCTCACACCCATCCACCACTCTCACACCCATCCGCCTCTCACTCACACCCACCTGCCTCTCACTCGCACCCACCCTTCTCTCACTCGCACCCACCCTCTTCTCACTCACACCCACCCGGCCCTCTCACACCCTTCTTCCCGAACTAAACCATCAACTCACATCGACCCGCCCGTTTTATTAACTGGAGGGCGAAGCG